CTGTGGAAGGTCAAAGGTCAGGGGTAACTTCATCGAATGGTAATATGACCTCATAACTTATCTATAACCTGATACATTGGCATTATGTTAGGGGAGCATTTTAGGTTGTTATAATGCCCACAACTACAACATGATAATATACTGTACAAATGCCCAGGATTACAACTTATGGGCATCATTTCTCGTTAACAAAACACAATGATGTTATGAACGATGTTGATACCCGCGCGATGTTGGACTCCTGGAGGGTTCCTGGCAAGTTAGATTACATTGGTTACCACTCGCCGCGGCTCTGACTATGTTCTCACATGCCAGGGCTATCGCTGTTGTGGTGGACTTCCTTTTCCTGAACCCGAATTGTCTGCAGTTGACTCTGTTGGTTGTTTCCAGGTGATTTCTCAGACGGTTATTGATGATTTTTTTCTAGAATTTGTCCAGGTACTTATAGGAGGGAGATCGGTCTGTAGTTTAGTGGGACGGCGGGGTTCTTTCCTTGTTTTGGTGTTAGGGTAATAGTAGCCTCTTTGAATTTAGTTGGGAAGTAACCCGAGGCCAGGCAAGCGTTCATTGTGGTTCTCAGTCTCTCCATGGCCGGGTTGTTTATGCCCGAGTAGCCAGGGGCTTTATTTTTGGTATTGGAGATGGCTGTTTTGAGTCCTTCCGAGGTGATTGGTTTGGATAATAGGCTGTCCACTCTCAGATCCTCCCATATGTTTTCAAGGGAAGGCTGAGTGCGGTGTGTCTGGCCCAGGAGTTTATCAAGGTTCTTTGTTTTGGTCGTCATATATTTTACATCTTGCGTGGTCAGTTATATATGATGACTCGTTACTGCTGGAACCTTTCAGTCTCTTAACTCGACGCCAGAACTCACCTGGATCGTTGTATGTATGTGAGAGTTGTTAAACTATTTCAGCCCATTTGATGTTGTCTTGTTCCAGAGATCTTGTTTATATTTCCTCCCGTATTCTTCTGTACGTATTGTAGCTTACGATGTCCCAACTATGGGTCTCGGCTCTCTGTTGTAGCAGTTGGAATTGATTAGTGAGGGCTATGAGTTCTGGAGTCTGTTGTGGGTGTGGGAGAGTTCTGGAGTCTGTTGTGGGTGTGGGAGAGTTCTGGAGTCTGTTGTGGGTGTGGGAGAGCTCTGTTGCGTGGCCTCCTGGTAGGCTGTTCCTATGGCTTCACACCATGTGTTGATTTCTTCGTCTATTCTGTTCACCGGTTGATAGTCTAAGGTCTGCAGGATTGTCATGTCCTTGGTCTCAAGTTTGGCTGTAGCTTTTTCGTTGAATAGTTCCCAGTTGGTGGTGAGGTGGTGAGGGAAAGAGAGGGGAGAGGGTGGTGAGGGGAGGGAGAGGGGTGAAGGGGTAGGGTGAGGAGAGGAGGAGGTGGGGGTGAGGAAAGGGAGAATTGGTCAGATGAGAAGAGGAAAAGAGGCAGTACTCAGGTCACACACACACACACACACACACACACACACACACACACACACACCACACTGTTGCGGGGTATAAAATGGGATCATACACAGCGACACAATAAATTAATAATACCTCCCCTCACGCAGAGTTAAAATATCTTCACTAAACAGACAGACAAACTCAAGGTAGGTGTGGAAGGTGTGGGGTACACAGTGTGGGGTGGGGTACAAGTGTGGGGTAACACAGTGGAGTGGGGCACAGTGGGGCACAGTGTGTAGGTGTGGGGTCACAGTGGGGACAGTGTGGGAGGATGAGGTACACAGTGTGGGGTGCACAGTGTGGAGGTGTGGGGGGTACACAGTGTGGGGTCACAGTGTGGAGGGATGAGGTACACAGTGTGGGGGTACACAGTGTGGAGTGTGGGGCCAGTGGGGGGTACACAGTGTGGAGGGATGAGGTGCACAGTGTGGGGGTACACAGTGTGGGTGTGGGGTACACAGTGTGGGGGTGAGGTACACAGTGTGGGAACACAGTGTGGAGGGTGAGGGTACACAGTGTGGGGTACACAGTGTGGAGGTGTGGGGTACACAGTGTGGAGGGATGAGGGTCACAGTGTGGGGGTACACAGTGTGGAGGTGTGGGGGTACACAGTGTGGAGGTCTGGGGTACACAGTGTGGGAGTACACAGTGTGGAGTGTGGGGTACACAGTGTGGAGGATGAGGGCACACAGTGTGGAGGTGTGGGGTACACAGTGTGGGAGTACACAGTGTGGGGGTACTGTACACAGTGTGGAGGTGTGGGGTACACAGTGTGGGGGTGGGGGTGTGGGGCACACAGTGTGGGGGGGTACACAGTGTGGAGGTGTGGGGTACACAGTGTGATACACAGTGTGGGGGTACACAGTGTGGGGGTACAGTGTGGAGGTGTGGGGTACACAGTGTGAGGTGTGGGGGTACACAGTGTGGGGGTACACAGTGTGGGGTACACAGTGTGGAGGTGTGGGGTACACAGTGTGGGGTGCGGGTACACACGTGTGGAGGTGTGGGGGTACACAGTGTGGAGGGTGTGGGGGTACACAGTGTGGGGGCACAGTGTGGAGGTGTGGGGTACACAGTGTGGGGTACACAGTGTGGAGGTGTGGGGGGTCACAGTGTGGGGGCACAGTGTGGGGTACAGGTACACAGTGTGGAGGTGTGGGGGTACACAGTGTGGAGGTGTCAGCACATGAACCGGTGAAGACCAAAATAACCTTGTGGTTGCCGGCGTCATCACACACACATACACACACACACACACACACAGACAGACACACACACACACACACACACACACACACACACACACACACACACACACACACACACATACACACACACACACACACACACAACATCTCAGTACTTTACACTCCACCAATCATTTTCTCAACATCCGCCAGGTGTCAGTAACCGAGGTCTGTGATTGGTTGTTCTTACAGATAACATTCATAGACACTCACAGTAACACTCACACACTGGGTGGAGTGGAGTGGAGAAGGTGGAATAGGTGGTGTGGTGTGGAAGAGGTGGTGTGGTGTGGAAGGGGTGGTGTGGAAGGGGGGAGTCAGTTCAACACAGGTCACGCCAAGAAGCGGTAGAGGAAGGTCATATGCTCCCCTCCCTCCACCTCTCCCTATAAATACACATTCCCTTTACACACCCTCCACACTCTCCTCCCCACACACATACACCTCCCGGATCTAACAGTGACCGCCTCCACTACCGCATCATTCACATGCCTCTCAACACACACACACACACACACACACACACACACACACACACACACACACACACACACACACACACCTGAACCATTATAACTAAACACTTTAGGTGTAGGAGGGTGTGGGGGGATGTGTTGTGGGTGTAGGGAGGTGTGGGGGATGTGTTGTGGGTGTGGGAGGTGTGGGGGATGTGTTGTGGGTGTGGGAGGGTGTGGGGGATGTGTTGTGGGTGTGGGAGGGTGTGGGGGATGTGTTGTGGGTGTAGGGAGGGTGTGGGGGATGTGTTGTAGGTGTGGGAGGGTGTGGGGGGATGTGTTGTGGGTGTAGGAGGTGTGGGGGATGTGCTGTGGGTGTAGGGAGGGTGTGGGGGATGTGTGTGGGTGTGGGAGGGTGTGGGGGGATGTGTTGTGGGTGTGGGAGGGTGTGGGGGGATGTGTTGTGGGTGTGGGAGGGTGTGGGGGGGATGTGTTGTGGGTGGGAGGTGTGGGGGATGTTGGGGTGGAGGTGGGGGATGTGTTGTGGGTGTGGGAGGGTGGGGGGGATGTGTTGTGGGCGGGCAGCGGAACTTCGTGGATAATGGTGGGGAAGCGGAAATGGGCGAGGTGAAGGGGAAGTCAGTGTCCAGCAGGGGAGGGGGTGGGGGGTTGGAGTAGGGAGGGGGTATGGGGAGGGAGGGATGAAAAGACGGAGAGAAAGTAGAGGTGGGGTAAAGATGGAGGGAAGTGAGGCAGGGATGGAAAAAAATATAAGGGGTAGGTAGGTAGGTAGGGAGGAGGAATCCACCAGGCTCTATGTCTAAAGTTGTCTGTGATATTAAAATAAATGTGATAACTACTAATGAGAACAACTCTCGTAATGAATTTGTGTGGATTCCGTCCCAGTGGAATTAGGACTCATGACTGTGCCGATAGACTGGCCAATGAGGCATGTAAGAAAGAAAATGTTGACCGTGACCTGGCCTGTCCAAAGGTGTAAAACATACAAGTCATGAACTCTGATCTAGAGGAACTGAGAAATGCAGAGACCTGGTAGTTGTAGCGTTATATGACAAATTTAGTGACGAGAGGTACCGGTATGGCCAGCATAAGGACAGAACCAATGTGATGTAGTCGTGGCCAGAATTAGACTAGGATACAGACACATCTGGCAAGTTAGTGACGCTGTACCCATACCGGAACACTCAGCATGTAAACTTTGTGATAAACCTTTAAAGCATACACTTGAACACTATATTATTGAATGTGACACTGTCAAAGACTTCAGGCCACCTGGCTTATTGTATCATGAACTTTGTAATTACTTCATTGAATCAGGTGTACTTGAGGACATTCTTGCTGTCTATCCAATATTTGCTGCTAGCCCACACTGATTAGTCCTCGTACAGAATATAACTTCTACTGTATATGAACCTCTGTCGTGCGTGGCAGTGAGAAGTGATACCACCCTCAGTGTCAAGACCTGACTGAATTACTCAAAATAGTCAAACTGTACTCCAAGCTTTGTCAATAACCGTTAATCGTGATGCGAGTGAGGGGAAATAAAGAGAGGGGAAGGAAAAGGCGAGGCAGAGAAGAGGGGAGTGAGGGGAAATAACACTGATGGCAGATGAAGAGGGAAACTGGAGAGGAGGGACGTGTTAAGAGGGGAGGAGAGGGACGGAGTGGCATGAGAGAGAGAGAGGAGTGGGAGAGAGAGGAGAGGAGAGGGGAGGAGTGGCAGAGATAGGAGAGGGGAAGAGGGAAAGGAGTGGGAGAGAGGAGAGGGGAGTGAGAAGCGTAACCACAAGAGGGGAAGGGAAGTACAAGAAAGTGAC